ACTTTTTCTTTTCTTGGGGTGTTTTTCATAAATATCTTTTGAAGATATTTTATTTCAGGGGTATCTAAGAAAATATCTTTTGGAAGATATTTTCATTCTGGGGCAGTTTTGCAGTTTTCACTTTCTTGTGGGGTCATTGTGCAATTAATGAAAGTTATTACTCAATGCCTTGTTTTGAGCCTGGATCCTCGTATGGGATTCATTTTCACATTTCTTCGAGTCGCGGACTCTTAGAATTTCCTCCTGGACGATGTTTTCCAGTTTCAGGGTTTCTGGCCCCAGTTTGCACCAAACTTGTCTTGGGCATAACTCTCTGCTCGGGACTCGGTTTTCAACGCTATTTATTCCGTTGTTCATATTTTCTCATTTGGAATCTTTTTTGTTCACAGAGTTTTGCCATTTGAGCGCGTCTGCGTGAATTCCACTTTTTCGGACCCGGCAGGGCCCGTTCGGGGCACTTTTTGAGTTTTTCTATAAATAGGAGGTCTTAAAAAGAAAAATCAGATTTTTCTCTCTCTCTCCTCTCTCATGGCCGGTCCAAGCTCCATCTATGGCTGCCATCTTCTCTCTCCTCTTTTGGACTTCTTCCCTTCATTAAAAAGTGGTGATGCCTTTGTGTTTATTGTTCCCCTCGGGAGGCTTTCGATTCCAACCGATTGGAATCTCGTTTTGGCCATTTCTTAAGTTCGGGTTTGAAGTCAAGTTGTGTTTTTGATGGGGCTTCCTTGGGATTCATGTTCGTGGTGTTGTCCTCGACAAAACCTAGGAGTTTCGCCGGATTCGGAGCCGATTTAATTTGGTGGGGATTTGAGATTTCATCTTAAATGCAGGTAGGGAATGTTTTAGGATTTTGTGTGTGTTGTATTGAGTGTTTAGCATGATTATACAACTTCTATATGTGCCTTGTATCAAATCTAGAAAGTTACTAATTTTTATTTTTTTGTATAAGATTTAAAATTCATGATGATATATAACTTTGATTTGAATTGTGGTATGGTAGAAAATCTTGTTTTAATATGTTGGTTAACATATATTAAATTTGGATTAATTAAATAAGAATTGCTCTTTTTAATTAATATTTATCTTTTTATGAAAGATTTAAGTTCATGACCATACCTTACATGGAATTGAGTTGTATTATGCTTCTAAATTGAGTTTTGGCATGTTTGTTAACATACTTTAATTTGAGAGTATTTGGTTGAGTTTGGAAATCTAGAGACTTTAATTAAGGGAATTAATTAAAATCTATTTTGGTGGTTTCATGGGCCTAATTAAGCTTGTGTGTGAATATATGTAATGACCATGATATGTCTATTAACATATATTAAATTGGGGCCAATTGGAAATGATTTGAAATCTAGAGAGTTTAATTATTTTGATGTAATTAAATTCTATCTTGTGTATCCATGGATCTAATCATGTTTTAGAAGTTGTTTCTATTTTAAGAGCATGGATTTAAACTTGTGATGTATTCACTAGATTGTGTTATATGCATTGAAGAGCATTGTTATTAAGTTTATATTCATGAGAGTACGTTTCTAATATGAATATATTATTGGCTTGTGATTTCGTAGCATTATGGATATGAAATGCTTATTATGCACAATTGAGAGTTATATTGCTAATTTGTTACTATGTAGTAGCAATATATATAAGTTATGAACTTATTTGGCTTATTTTGGAATCTTGGAACATTGTTGAGTTGAGATGGCTAGGGTTTGGCTCTAGTAAGGGGACGTGAGTCCTCTAAGTCATTGAGATAGTGCGCACTTAAGGTGGTCTTCCCTGCGGGTTAGTGCCCGGAATAACCATTGAGGTCTCGGCAGAATTCCGAGCGTGATGTCCAAGTATTCCACTGTTTGTTTTCACATTCAATTCTAAGTTGACAATCATATTTACCTTGTTAATTTGTGGTTTTGGTTATTGGCGATTTTGATGTTGTTAAGTACATCCATACTAAATTGATATATTTAATTGATTTCACACTTTTAGATTTCTAGTTGATAACCTAGAGAATCTATGTCTTGATGTGTGGTATTAGATATTCTAATTATGCTAAATTGTTATATTTAGTTGATGTTGTATTTTAGACTTCAAGTTGATAACCTTGAGAATCTATATGTTGTTGCTTGTGTAAGCATGCTCCTATATTGTTGTTTTGTGTAAGCATGCTCCTATGTTGTTGCTTTGTGTAAGCATGAACCTATGTTGCTAAAATTGCATGAATGAGGTGATTGATGCTAGAAATGATCTTAGGTAGTTAGGATGCTCCTTCAGTCTCACCTTTGACATAAACGTTAGGTGGAATGAACCACAATGATTAAATCATGCAACTTGTAAAACGTAGGTCGATGCATGCTCATTTCCTACGAGTAGCTTTATGTTACTCACCCCTACGATACTGGGGCATATTTCAGGTATAAGAATCAAAGTTGAGGTCTTCATTATGCTTGGATGGTTCGTGGACTTGGAGACTTTCATTTTTGGTGAAGGTTGGCTTGGAATGCCAATTGTAGTCTTATATGTCAACATGTGTACATTTGATTCCTTATATATAATGTGTACATGAGTACACTCTTTACGATGTATTTGACATGTATGAGATAAGGCCGAAGGCCAATGACATATAATTTGTATCCTATGTAATTTTTGACTTCATGGAATATTATGAATGTATTAAAAAATATTGAGTTTTTTCTTCACCATGTTTGCATTGGGTGTGGGAATTCCATTTTGATTCTTCCATTAGCATTCATTCACCATGTATGTAGTGTGGCCAAGGGCCAAACGGCATTTTGAAACCATATTATGATTTTAAATTCCAAGTTTTCGTTCCAAACTTCATTTTTGGCATTTTGGCCGTTAGGGGGTCATATTTTTCATCAGCCATATTTTTTGGCCATGGACCATTATAGCACATCTTACTATGTAGGTTACGTTTGCATGCATGGTCGTTTCCGAGCAAAGCTTCTTCTTTGGTGAAATGAGCCTCCTACGGATTCATTTTTCACTTTTGTTACATATTCTGACCTAAGGGTATTTTGGGAATTTTCTTTGGGAAATAAATTCCGTTCTTCACATGGTTGAATAGAAAATATGATTTTAGAGGGGGTTTCTTTTTCGTGTTTTTCCAGAAAATGCCATCTTGGCATCGGAAATCGCATCCGAAGTTCAGCTCTCAGTTTTTAAATTTAGCAGCTTTTTGGACCCTCTGGACCAGTTTTCTTGGGAGGGCATTTTGGGTATTTCACATTATGTAATTTTCAATTTACCTCACGAGTCACGTAGAAAACTCGATTTTGAGGGGGTTTCTTCTTTGTGTTTTTCCAGAAAATGTCATCTAAGCACTCAAATTTTCATTTTTCCAGAAAAACCCCTACTGCCAGGTTTTGGGGTCGCACCCTTACTGCCCTTCACATCTAAACGGTTACGAGGGGTTTCGTAACCGGTTAGATGAGTGTGGGCAATGTTTTTTTCACTGTTTTTGGCTTCCTAACCGGTTAGGAAGGTCTCCTAACCGGTTAGATGTTCATGGGTTGCCTCTTTTGAACCGTTTTGCCTCTTCTTCTTCCGTTAGCCATATCTTATTCATCCGGACTCCGAATCAAGCGATTTTTGAGTCTAAGTTCATTGATTTTTTGTTGTCTTTCCAATGGTGCACTCGGTGGCACCCACTTTGAAGCTGAAAATGACGATTTTGCCCCTAGGTGCATTCTTGTCCGTTTTTGAAA